TAAAAATACTTTAAATTTGAGTTTGGATTAAGTTTTGACCGGAGATGACCCGACAAAACCTTTGTCTGCTGTAGTCAAAGGAAGAAAGTCTGCCTTTCGCACCGGCATTCTAGCATTGCTGGCCCACAAAATCCAGGGGATTTCGTGTAGACACGTGGCTGTCTGTTGTTGGTCAAGCAGTAATAGTCAAAAGCTTATAATGTCTTTTATATATATATATATATATATTTTATCTTTGTTTAAATGTGGTCAAAGTTATTTAGATTCAAGTAATGTCTTTGTTTGTGTGTGGCAGCTGTTTTCCTCACTCCGTGGACACCCGATGCTCTCCTTAATTCTTCTAATTAAATTAACATCACAACAATAATTAATATTACATTACATTAAAATTTTTACCTAATCTACAATATTTTGAAACCAATTAATTATCTAATCACTAATTACTCTTTACTTTGATATTTGAAATATCACCTTTTTTATAAATAAATAAATAAAAATTAATTTAATGTTTAAAGGTTTTAATTTATTTTTTTAATAATGAAAATAAATCTAATTAACTTATCTACACAAATTTCAATGTGATACTATCATTTAACTAAATAATTATTATATTTTTTTCATAATTCAATTTCCTATTTTTAATGTTTATATTTATTTATTTATATATTATTTATGTTATGTTATTATTAATATATGTATATCATCACTTAATCAGCAAATATATGAATTTAATTAAAAAAATATAATATCATAATTTCAAACTCATTCAAATAAAATTATTGCATTTATAATCATTACTTTAAAATTGCAAATATCAAAATAAAAAATGATGATCCAAATAAAAACATATGCTTTTGTTGCTTTATCTATAAGATTTTGATGATTCATTAACTTATTATTTGAAAACTAATTGTGAACTTAAGTGATTTTTTCTTGATACATTGAATAATTAACGAAGATTAATTAATTGATTAAGTTGATCACTTCGAGATTACTTCAAAAAAAAAATCTAATGAGTACTTAATGAATTTAAATTTGTCGGTAAAGATATATAGGGTAGTGCACTTTTCTCTTTAATTGCCCTTTTTATTTGATAATGATCGTCCAAACGTTGATGCAAAACTAATCTCATAAAATTAAACACATGTCACGCCATGTTTAGTATATATATACATCTATATATATGACCATGTTTAGTATATATATAATTTTCTTGGTTGATGATGTCAAAAATGACAGTGGTAATAATATGAAAAAAAAAATTATATATTTTAAAAATGATATTCTAAATATTATAGATAAATATAGAGATATTTTGTTCTAAAACTTAGTTCTATAAAATTAAATGAAATATTTTTTTAATAAAAAATTATTGGGTATCGAAATAATTTCGAACGTACATTTAAATTTATTTAAATATTTAAATGAAATCAAACTATTATAATTGATTGGGACAGATAATTTTTATTTATCATTTAAGAATATATTGAATTTAATTTTTAAAAATACAAAATTTGCCACAACCTAATTTAATCTTTTGTATATACATAAAAAGTTATATATTTTAATATAATGCTTATATTCAAATTTTGATATATTTTAATTTATATTTAATATACAAGACCAATGTATGTATAAATAATTTAATATAAAATTATTAAAATCTAAAAGAAACCAATCAAATGTTATTTTTATAAAAATAAATAACGAAAATGCTAATATACAGAAGCAGCACGCGAAAACAAAACAAGTGTAGCGAACATGTAAATTAAACTATTAATATTAAATGAAAACAAATTAATTAATTAATTAAAATAATTAAAACGCATGATGTCGATGCGTTTTGATGCGAGTGAGACTAAGTCAAAGCAGCTATTGTTGAAACGCGGAATCAGTACGTATTAATTGACATCACTAATATTGTTTTAGCCTTTTTTTATTTTTATTTTTTTTTTAAAATGAAGGTTGAAATTACTGCATTTATTATTAACATCTTGAATGTTGTTGATTTTTTTTTTTTAAAAAAATATTTTCAATCACTACCAGCGGAAAAGAAAAAAAAAAAAAAAAAGACAAAAGCGACTTGAATTAATGCACGCTTAGCGAGATCCAGCTGTTTAAAACTTAAACTATAATTATATATATATATATGTATACATATATATAATAAGATATATATATATATATATATATATACACACTTCCACTCTCGTTAAACTTGAAATAGCAATGCGATCGATATACATGTGTATGTATATATATATATATATATATATATTGGCATTTGAGTTGGAATCACATTAACATTTAACCAGCTTTGACATGTGTACGGATTAAGGATTAATGTTTTAAAAAATAATTTTAAATTTACAAACTCGACATAAAAAATTAGTGATTTTTATTAAAAAAAATATTTTTTAAAATTTTAATTATTTAGTACGTGGAAACTAAATAAAAAAATAAGAAAAAAAACTTAAAATTGAAATTTGAGAAAAATTAAAACCAGAATTAGTTTGGTGGAACTAAATTAATTTTGATTATCTTAAAAAAGATACTTCTAATTATTTCAAAATTTTATTTTTAATTAAAAACGAAATTGTATTTAATAATAAATTGTATTTATTAATTATTATGTATATTAACAAATTATAAGTTCACTAAACTACTTCAGTTTGCAATATTTAATATTGTTCTACGTTTTTTCCATATAAAAAAGACCCTTTGTATTTTGAATTACTAAAAACCAAACTTACGTAATTTGTAAAACTCAAATTGAAACATTAAAACTAAATTTTATTTCAAACAAATCATATTATATATATAAATTATTCATTAGTTATAAGGGTAATTAGAATTGTGACAGAATTTTGTATATTTACCTTATAATATAAGAAGAGTGTTTAACCCTAAAACACTCTTCTTATGAAAAAACAAAAGGATGAAATGGAGAGTCACAGACTCTTGGATACCCTAAAAATTCAATTTCATTTCTGACGGAACAAATATTATTATCGATTTCTTAACTAAAATAAAGGGCAGAAAAATGTAGAAGTAAAAAGATAGCTAAGTTAAACTCTTTTTTAACTTAGTGTATTTTATCTCTGTTTTTTAATGGTGATTTGCTTGTAACAAATAAATAATTCCATATGATTTTACATTCTAATTTATATTTTTTGATTTGATAATCATATAATATTAATTAGTATTTTTAATTTCATCATCGTATAAAATCTCTCAAAACATATAATAAGAAAAATTCGAATTAAGTCCCCATAAATATCGTTAAATTTTATTTTCATTGAAGTATGTTTTTGTGCTCTCTTTTTCTTTTTATTTCTATTACCATCGTAAGTAGTAAAAAGATTTTTTGATGAGTTGAAAAATTGAAAATACTCATAACCAAATAAATATATTTGTAAAGATCCAAACTAAGATAATCAATATGGGAGGTACGTATGGTTAAGTCGGTGAGAAATGAATGTGCCGAGTATGATTAGTACAGGGGGCATCCATCTAATTATGGAGTATTAGTTGTCTACTAATTCTATACATTACTCTATGTAATGCTAATCATGATTACATCAATAATAACATTATAACACAAACACTAATTAATATATACATATAATATTATTTTATTTAATCTTATTTAATTACTAGTGTACTTCAAGCTGTATTTGTTAGATTAATTCATTAATCGCCTCAACATTTTTTATTTGGTTGACCTTCACTTCGAAAGAAAAAAGAAGAAAAACCAATATCACACGTGCAATCAAATGAAAATATAAGATAATAATTTTTAATTTACTGACATATATATATATATATTTCTCATATTACTTAATGAATTTTCAATATTTTATTTTTTATACTTACATATATAGTCAAATACAATATATATTCCCTGCCAAGTTACATCAACTTTAATTATTATATATATTTAGTGTAAAAATCTAAAACTTAAAAGAAAATGGACATATATCGTAAAGTCGGAATCAGTTAAGAATTTAAAATTTATATTCTTTACACAGTGAATCGGAATTTCTAATACGATTACGGAAATATCCCTTTAAGAAAGTTTTCAATAACAGAATAAATAAATAAAAGAAAATACAACTATAGATCCAATAGAGTTAACCCCTGCTGGGTAACTCTGATGGGATAAGGGAGGCACCTTTATTCGCAATATTCTTCTACCTGTTTAAGATCTGGATCTTCGTCTTCCTAATATGAAAATAGTTAAATAGTGGGATGAGCTATATTAGCCCAATAAAAATATCACGTTTAGCACTAATACGAAAAACCAAAGATTGACAAAAATATAAATAACTGATGGAGCCATTATCTTCTTTTAAATAAAATCATTTCGCATAAAAATGAACAATAATAGTAACTTATCTTCTTACCCGTTTACCAGTACCTCTGGGGTCCATAGTGATCCCCCTTACGCATGGACCCAATATCTAATTTATCATTTAATCGGTCGTCTCCATACTACGTCTGGTAATGGATACCAAATATACCACCACCTCAATACCATGTCCGGTATGAGGGTGAATTATACCTCCCAACTCCTTCTGGTATGAGACTTCTCAACTCCATTCAAATAGACAATATGAAAATTAAAAAAACGTGATTAGGATATTTGCTTCAAATCAGTCAATA